GTGTGTCTGTGTGTGTGTGTGTGTGTGTCTGTGTGTGTGTGTCTGTGTGTGTGTCTGTGTGTATGTGTCTGTGTGTGTGTGTGTATCTGTGTGTCTGTGTGTTTGTGTGTGTGTGTCTGTGCGTATGTGTTTGTGTGTGTGTGTCTGTGTGTGTGTCTCTGTGTGTGTGTCTGTGTGTGTGTATGTGTGTGTGTGTCTGTGTGTGTGTGTGTCTGTGTGTGTGTGTGTGTATGTGTAGAGGCATATACACATGTGTGCATGGACATGTAGAGGACAAAGCTGGAATTCTAGTGTTCACCTCTATTCTGTTTTTAAACAAGGTCTTTCACTGGATCTCCATGTTTTAGATAGACTAGTTGACCAGCAAGTTCCTAAGATCTTGTACTGGGATTATAGAGGTGTGTACATGCCTTGTGCCTAGCTTTAAGTTGCTGGGGAATTAGAATCTCAGTTCCTGTACTTGTGCATGAAGCACTTCCCAAGGCATCTTCCCAGTCCCCAGATAGTGAATCCTTTTCACTATTAACAGGGAGAGTTTCTGCAAATTTTATATGCTGCAGGAGTCACTTTTATTTATTTATTTTTTTATTTGGAGAGCATTCAGTTTAGCCAAGAGTTTGTATGAGATGGTAAGACTGTATAGATGCTCAGCAGTTAAGAATGAAGTTCAATTCACAGAACCTGCATCAAGTAGCTTGCAACAACCTGTAACTCCAGTTCCAGGGCATCCAGTTTCCTCTTCTAGGTTCCAAGGGTATCTTTAGAGAGTATGAGACTGTGTATTTTCACAACTTGCCTCCAGTTTCTTTGAAAACAAAACAAACAAACAAAACCAGAAACAAGCAAAAACACAACCTGACTAAAAAAAAAAAGTCTTCCCCACATTGCCAGAGATGTCAAGTTAAGAAGAACTCCAAACAATGAAAGCAGAGAAGTAGCTGGAGAAGCTCTGAGTTTAATCCTGGGTGAAATCCCTTCAGAATTCCTCAACCCTGTTGCCGCACAGTGGTGTTCTGCTTCAAGGAGTATTACTTCTTGTAGATGTTGATTTAGTTTGAACATATGTGAATGTCACTTAGTTTGTCTTGCTTTTTATCAGAAGGACTTGTTATAATCAAGCAGAATAATTGGAAGTGATCCTTAGGGAGATGTGTGAGAACAAACAGAAATCTTAATACCTGAGCTATCCATCTAAAGGATGTACATGCGTGGCCTTGTGTGCGTGTTACTATTGTTCATTTGACCATCTATCTGATACTGTTTCAGACATAGCATTAGCACATACAGGAAATTAAATGAGTTTGACATTCATTTTAAATAAATTGATCTCTCCAAACTGGAAATTCCAGTATTTTGAGCACTTTATGTTTACTTCATTGTTCTCCCCTTCTACGTATTTCCTGCCATCTTTTTTCTCTTTCCATAATTTATTTTTTATTCATTTTACATCCTAATAACAGCCCTTCCCTCCTCTCCTCCCAGTTCTTCCCTTACAAATCACTTACCCATTATCCCCTCCTCTTTTTCCTCAGAGAAGGAAAGGCCTCCCTTGGGTATCACCCCACCCTGGAACATCTAGTCCTCTCCTATTGAGGCCCAAGAAGGTAGTCCAGGTAGGGGAAGGGGATCCAATGGCAGGCAACCATGCCAGAGTCAGGCCCTGCTCCAATTTTTAGTGGAATCACATGAAAACCAAGCTGCCCATCTGCCACAAATGTAGACGGGTGACCTAAGTACAGTCCCTGCATGCTCTTTGGTTGGTGGCACAGGGCTTTGTGAAGTCCACTATTGGTCCAGGTTAGTTGACCCTGTAGGTCCTCTTGTGATGTCCTTGACCCCTCTGGCTTGCTCTATTCTATCCTCCACTCTTTTACAAGACTCTCTCTGATCTGCCTGATGTTTGGCTATGGGTCTTTGCATCTGTTTCCAGCTGTTGGAAGAAGCCTCTTGGGAGACAGTTATGCTGGAGTATTGTTTACAAGCAAAGCAGAATATCAGTAATAGTGTTGGGGTTGTCTCTCTCGCATGGGATGGATCTCAATTTGGGCCAGTCAATGGTTGGCCATCTTGACTACTTATACAGATAAACAATATAAGATATATATAGAGAACACCTATCTATTCTCAGACCCTTCTTCTATAAAATGTGTACAAGAATGGTCCCTTCCTTCAAGGGCTTTGATAATTTAATGAGTTAATAAAAGTCAAACCCTTATGTAACTTACACATTGTAGAATATGTAAATATTACAATTATGGTTATAAAATATGATAACAATTTTGCCTTGTAAGTTCTATGTTGAGCAAACTACTTTGCAGTTCTGAATCTCAATTTCCTTAACACAGAAACATGAATATATTTTCTACCACCTCAAATAGATCATGAATCTATCAAAAAGATTCATAAGACATGAGACAAAATTCATTTTAACATCCTGACAATGAAACTTAAAATGGAATTAGTTGCAACCCTAGTTTCTTCTCTTAGTAGATATATGACCTTATGTGAGACGTTATGTGTGATGTCTGAGAAATAATGGTAACAGTGCTATCTCATACAGTCATTGTGACACTTCAACATCTTGCATAAAGATTTCAGCTTTGTGACTGACATTCAGAAATTATTTATGAATGCTTTCAAGATGTGGTCTATATAGGAAATACCTATTATTTTGGCTTCATACACACATAAGAAAGCTTATATACTCATATAGAAGTGTGTCAGCAATCTCAAAGTTTAATCTATGGTTATTAAAAGACAGAAACAACATGGGAAGTGTAATTGTCAAGCATGTAAGATGGCACACAATAAAATAACATCTCAGAACAGTGAAAGATCATCATTCAGAAAACTCAGTTGTCTTACGACCTGTATGTATGTAAATTTGTATGTGTTTGGGACAGTTTTACACACATGAAAATTAGAGAGCAAAATGGGAAGAAACATCATATAGTATACATAAATAGTGTTCAAGTGATTGCCAAAGTAGGATGACAGATATTTACCTATTTCTACCCGCTCTACATTTTTGTTGATATTTCCAGTTTAAATGTAAGAGTATGCATGGGAATTTATGTAATACTGACTGTATTTAGTTGTATTCAAAAGAGGCAAGGACTCAGAGAAACTTGGAACTTGAGGGTTCATAGTCTCTCCAGACCATGTTGTGTATTGTTCTAAACTTACTACTAACACAATAGCACTTGCCCAAATAAAGCCAAGGTCAATTGGTTGGATAGACATGAGGTCTGTGGGCAAACTTACAATGGTTTGATCAAACTCTAAACACACCTCTGAAGGCAAAAAGTAATCTCTGTCTTTGCTGAAGCAACAGGTCCACATCTTTATTAATAAGTCTTTCAATGCCATTTGTTTAAGCTGGAAATCCAGTGATCAGCATCTAGGGATCTAGGACCTCACCAATGTCAGCATTGCCATTTCCCCACCAACATTTAGTCTAGAAAATATAATCTTCTTGAAGTAATTAGAAAGTGCTTGTCAAACAACGCAAATGAAGAAAGACTCTGGGTGACCTCAGAAAAGAACAAAAGCTCAAAGGAATTTCCATAAGGTTGTAAATTTGGCAAGAGGGCTACACAATCTCTGATAATTAGACTTTTCAACACATTTGGATTTGCTAATTGGATCTAAGTTTTAATTAGACTTTTTATGTAACTAAGAATGACATATCATGGTATGAATTTAATGTGCTCTTACAGTTGAAACCAACAATTATCAAGCTTTCCCAGATTATCTTAATAAGGAAAAACCTGGCTTTGTTGATCATATTGTGACATCTCCGTCTCTCGCAATAAACTGAGCACATTTCAATTCTCTTAATTAAACACCTTTTGGGAGCTCAAAGAGATGCTTGGGTTTTAATAAGAAGCACCCAAGTTGTTTGTTTGTGAGGGAGATTTGCCAGTGTGTTGATGACTCTGGAAGCTACAGACAAAACTCAGTACAAAGAAATAAATCATCTTGGAGGAAATGGCACTAGTAACCAGATGTCCTTGTAAGCACTCAATTAATCAAATTGTTTCTAAATATGACTGAAGCTGGGCTATGCTTTTACCTTGTGCATTCCCAGAACCAGTCTCAGTTTGGATGCTCGTGATGCTGGCATTGGGTTAAGAGCCTGACAGCATTCTCACTGTGCACAAACACTGTTCCCTCAGCAGCTCTGTTTCTAGACCTGGCATCCATTCATTGACTGGAGCTTCATCATTCATTTCTTTCCTCCTTAGTTTTAATTGAGACTCATCAACTTTTATTCCTCTGACATTTGAAAATAGTAATTTTAAAACCAGTAACTCTCAGATCTGGATACTACAAGAGGCAATAACATAAGATTTTCATGAAAAGAATACTGTTGAAATATTCCAAGAAAACTAGTAGCACTGACCAAAATCCAAATTATGTTTTTGTGTACTTTTAATAGTTAACACACACACACACACACACACACACACACACACACACACACACATACACATATATATACCACGCACACACTTTATATCTGATTATCCTCTATATAAAAGCAATTGTTCTTCTACCTATATAAAATATTTTAATATTTTAACGGTCGTTTTCCTCTAAAAGCAATGTACAATTAAATAGCAAAATTAAGGCTCTGAGAGAATTTAAGTTATCCAGTAACTGATATATTAGTAAGAAATTCTCCAAGGGTTACATGTACTTTTATTCTCCCAATTAGCACACTCTGGTGATGGAGCCTTTGGTGAATATGTGACTCCTCATTAATTCAGATGTCCTCTGTGATTCTTGTAAAGCATGCTGGCTTCTGACATATGCCATATGATGGTATTTAAAAGCAAGAGATGGCATTTCTGATTGCTTCATTTGCTGTTAAAAGAGATGACTTTTTCATAGCAGTTATTACATGAGGTACCACACAGTTCTCTACAAGGCCTCCACAGAGCTGATGGGTCTGCTCTTCAGTCAGAGAAGTGACCAAAGATTTTTTTGCCTTTCAGCTTGGGTGCTGGAATCCTGTCACAGGTCTGAATGGGTCACTGACTGACAAGAAACTGGAAAATAACATGCGAGGTGTGGTTCTACGCGTGGTGACTGTATTGGTAAGCACCATCTTCACACTGTAGTTTGAGATCATAGAGTATCTTTCTCTCCTTTTTCATTTACCAACTAATTTTATAATCTCAAAAGAGCTTTGGCCTGAAGCTTGACTGTGATATCTAAGACAGCTTCAATTGTCATGTTACCCAGCCTCCTATCTCTGTAAATCTGAAACTGATCTGTAGGCTGTACTTTTCCATTACAGTACTTTTGTTAGGATATTTCTTAAATTTTTAGGTCTGATTTCCTACAGTTTCTATACATTATAAGAAGTGGGATTGTGTAATACCTACCTTATGGGAGAGCCTCCAAGGTCAGTACCAATCTGATTATTCCAAGTCCTATGACCAAGTATGTGATGTTTTCAGTAATGACACTTACTTTCAGGTTCTAGGAGGCAACCAAGGCCAATGGCAATAATATGTTTTGTTTGGGGATCTCTTGGATCCATCACACCTACAATTTCAAAGGAGCTGTCTCCTTCTTGCCACTTGGGTTGTTATTAGAGAATATATAACTCCTAGAAGAAACATTATCATTCATGTGACGTGATTCTGCTTAAACAATACATAGTAAAATGTGTATAGTAAAAAAAAAAAAGTGGGATCCCTCAAATATGTCCATCACTGAAACAATAGGATGCACATAGAGATATCAATGGAAAAATCACCCACTTGTTTAATAGATGCTTATCTAGCATCACTGGTGGCTTCCTGGGAGTACTAGCAAATAAGATAGGTATGTGTAATAGTCTTTTGTGACCTCACCATTTATGATTCTGTGAGTGGGATTATATATGGGGACTTTTGTCATGATTCCAATCACTTGTTAAAAAATCAATAAAGGTAACTATTATAATTCTGTATTATCTTTGGCTAGAGAGATGGTTCAATAGCTAAGAACTGATACTTCTCTATAAGAAACCTGAGTTTCATTTACAACATCCATGTCAGGTGACTCACAACCATCTGTAACTCTAGCTTCAAGGGAATCTAATTCCTGTCATCCTTTGGGCATTGGTGCTCATGGATACCTATACTCACGCAGACCCCCTTCCACAATTAAAAGTTAGAATAGATTTTTTTTTAAGAAAAGCTCTTTTATAGGCTAAATTACTTACATAATTATTAATGAACAAGGCTATTGGATACAGTGATAATAACTGGATATTCATTAAAATTCAATGTCAGCTGCTCTCTGTATGCTTAATAAGAATTAAACAAATCTAAACCTAATTTCTTTATAAATTATCTGAGCCATGTGCAAAAGAAAATTTAAATGAGTAACCCTTTAGCATATCTATAATTTATTTTTAGCTGTTACTTTAATAAAACCCTCACTTATAATTATTTCACCAATGTTTACAACTAAAATATGAATATGCTTCTGTTTGAACCTAAGTGTGTAGATATCAATTTGCATTTAATAGTTAAATTAGTTAACTTAATAGTTAAAAGGTAGACAATTGAAGTGCAAGCTAATCTCTTTTCTAGTGATTGTCATGGAAACTCCATCAAAGCTAATGCACAGGCTTTGGTTTTCTTTGAGAAAAAAAAGTAAACATTTAAAACAAATTACTCAATTAAAAAATTCAGTTGCTAAGCAAATAATTATTTAGTATTTAGCATATGATAGACTTGGCAATACATATAGAGTAGAAAACGCGATGATCCTAACCTTGGGGTATGGTGAGAATTTGGTATGTGGATCCTACATAAGGTGATACAGTACAGACTTGTTGTTTACTATTTGTCACATTCCCTCTGAAGTCCCCTGTATAGATTGTCTATTTCGGGTATTGCTGTATTCACAGTGTAAAGTATTCTAACCCACCAAAATATGAAGGAGTAAAATGAATCAACCACAAGGTGAACCAAAAAAAAAATATATGTGATATATATGTGTAAGCCTACACAGATGACAGAGCAGAGTTGAAATCCAAATCCAGCCAGCCTGGACTCCAGACATTTTAACTCCTACCCCTATGTAGTACATCAGGCTCTCTCCACTCCCACTGTGATGAGAGAGAGAAGAGAGACATCTGTGGGATTCTATTTGACTGGAGAATTGGAAATGTTTAAACTCTGAATGAGGTAAAAGTTAGTCTTATGGGGAGCGCTTCATAGGACCAATCGTTTTAAATTCATTTCCAGGCTGTAGAAAATGGCTTTGTTCAAGGCAGTAGTGGTAATGCCGCCTATCCTAGGTTCACCTGTTTGCTGCAAATTCAGCCTTGTGCGGATCCTGAGAGCAAGCCAACCAGAGACAGGAAGCTCAGTTGCTTTTCCTGATTGTCTGCAATGAACTTACCAGTTGGGTGCCCAGTTGAATGAGCATTTATTACTTTTTTTTTATACCCGCACAGCTTACAGCCAGCATGAAATCACTTCACAGGCTTACTCATACATTTATGGTACTGAATATGAAACTGCCCTTCTTATTTAGTTCCTGTATGCATGATTCTAAGTCTGTTATGTGTCCGTGTAAGCTCTCCTCATCCAAATTGAGAATCCTGTATCCTCTATTCATCCCCTTTCTCTTAAATCTTGATGCATTTAAATAACAACCATCACAGAACTAGGTCCCCATGTACAATTGAACTCAAACTGGAGATGTGGCCACTGCCCCAGATTATTTTATTCAGGAAAGTAATTCCAATATTTTCCCAAAAGTTGAAAAACCTCAGTGTAAATTCTCCAGGATGATATTTAATCCCTGAGATATTACAACAGAAATCTAGTGACCTCACTCATCCACTTCTACCTCTTAGAAAACTTACACCATCAGTTACAGTTAAGTTATAAAGCTGACTATCCTTAAGTTTTGAAACTCACATTTTTATCATTACTAATGGTATTTCAATGATCTGATGTAAACAGTTGAACATAGATCAAGTAATTTGAGACTCCATTACATGGGACCCTTAAAGCAGGCAGTAACTGGTATAGTCAGGCAGTTCATTGAACAGAATTAAGTGAAGTTAGCTGTTACAGGACAGTAAACAGCACTTAAGGAACCAACAAGGATGCTGAAGCACCTGGGCCTGGTTGCATAGGGAAGCTCTGGGTTTGGCTGAGCATGAAGGGGACTCCAGCAGCTGGAACCAGAGCAAAGGATGTAATCCGGAGATCTGTTGGGACAAGAAGAGGATGCAGAAAGAGTCACTGCTCAAACCACAACCAGGAAGAAGTACACAGAGACACAAAATACTCTAGTCTTATGGCTACTGCCTTACCAGCACTTTCCATTTCCCTCCAGTTAAAATGTCAGCAGGTGGTGGTGGTGCACACCTTTAATCCCAGCAGAGGCAGGAGGATCTCTGTGAGTTTGAGGCCAACCTGGTCTACACAGTGGGTTCCAGGATAGCCACGGCTATACACATAGAAACCTTGTCTCAAGGGCACAAAAATTCTTCCAGAAGCCAGAAGGCCAAGGAGCCTGAGTAAGCTAAAATGGGCTTGTCTCTTCCAACATAGAGTAGGCAGAGAGGGCTGCAGAAGTCTGGGAGGAAGCTGGGTAAACGTGTGCCAGCACTCTCTTGTGATTAGACGTTTCCAGGGAATAACACATCTTTTATTTAGTCCTTATCAGATGCTAGAAGAGCTATATTAAGTCTAGGCATTTATAAAAGCACAATAGAGTGATCTCTCAATTTCCATATCCATGTTGCCAAAAACAGCTATATAGCTTTGGCTTAGAGTTCATGCTTTGCCATTCCCTCTCTTTTGAATCAGAAAAAGAACAGGAAAAACCAAACAAACAAACTCTCATTTGTTAGATTAAACATATTATGACAACTGATATTTGAGGGCATGTGTTCCTAGATTGGCAACACCAGGGTACTTTCCAGAATGATGTCATATAACATATGATAGATGTTTTCTACCATAAACAACACCACAGAAATATTTCTTGAAATAGAAGAAATGAATACGTGACAGCCAGGCAGGTCCTGGCCCTGGTATCTCTGATAGTCCCTTTTCTGTCTCTTGCAAGTCAGCCCTTGTTTCTTACCAACTATTCCAAATGGTTTGTGTTAGTACAAAGCAATAGTGAAGGGGGTGTTCTCTCTATTTTGACAGGCAGAGTTATATTAATTAATGCAGCTAGCTGTAAATGAGCAACATGCCATTTGATTTTCTTACGTGATAAAACTTGTACACTGTTTGACACTTCACTGTGTCATAAATATAATCATAAAGAATTAATTCTTATTTCCATGGGTTGATTGCATCTCTAATGATGTGTGTGCTCATTCCTCAGTTCCTGGAAGAAATACGTATAATAGGTTTTCGGGTGCTGAGGCAGATACAGTATACACAATATACACCTGCCTGCTGGAAGCTTCCTTTACCACACTAGTTCTTTGCCTTCCTACTGCTATGACCCTTTTATTCAGTTCCTCATGTTTTGGTGACCCCCCAACCGTTAATTTATTTTCATTGCTATACCATAACTGCAGTTTTGGTACTGTTATGAATTATAGTGTATGTATCATTTGACTCCCATGGTGGGTCATGACCCACAGGTTGAGAACCACTGCTAGCAAAACACAGCTGCTGCAGGAAGCTTTTCTCACTGTATAGTTTTAAACCGTTCTTGAAAAAATACTCTCAGTGAATTTGTCCTATATTATATATGCACATTGCTGTCTATCCTCCATAAAATGTTTCAATGACCTTGTAGAAATGTGCAACAAGATGTTTGCTATAAAGATTTAATGACCATTTTTCTGTTTCACAAATTTAAAGAGTCTTTCATACATTAGGATCTCTGAATTAAAATAAATCTTTCAATTGTTATTTGAAAGTCTGAGTGTGCACTTGTCTTTAATAGTAATGTGAAAATTAATTGTTAAACATACAAATGAAAACATTTTCTTTTAATATTTTTTAATAAGTGAATTTCATGAGTAGTCCTGAAGGGTAAACCCCAACAACTGGTTAAGAAGCTTCATAAGGAGAAAGAGTGTTTAGAGCTTGCCTTCAATTTGATCAAAACA